CCCCCCCCCACACACACTTACCTATCAGCACCGCCTGTCACTGCCACAGTTCCCCAAAGCGATCCTCCCTCCTGAACTTCCTGGTTGCGGGGAGGAGATTTAGGGCAGAGGAGCCATAGGCTCCTTCTGCTGTCAATTAACCTGTTTGGAGGAGATGAGGGGCATGGCCTGCCTCAGGGCTGTGTGTGTCTATGGAGGCACACAGCCACGTGCAGGCATGGCCGGGAATGAGCATGCATGGGTGCCTCCATAGCAGCTGATTAGCTGATGAAGGCACCCGTGCAGGGGTGGGACGGGGAGGGGGAGGGCTGCGGAGACCCACTAGAGAACGTCGAAATTAACATTTTTATTGAAAAACAAAAAAATAAAAGAAACAAATGAAGCTTTAATATCACTTTAAGCTGCAAGTTTTCTAATAACTGCTATAAACCATTCCTACACAATTATAAATGTAGCAATAACATATAATGTAATCATAAATTGTTGGCAGAATGGAATTGAAAAAAACTGTCGCTTGCTGTGCATCCATAAATCATCAATATTTCTGTTATATTTAGTCAGAATTAAACAATAAGAAAAAATCTGAGCAGATTCAAATATAATTAAGTGAGATGTTATCCACTTTACCATTACAGCAAAATCATATCTTTATATTTACTTTTACCTTCCAAAGCTCCCTGTTGGTCATTGAAGCTGCCCATCACATTCAAATTCTAACAAGGAGACAAAATGACTGGGCAATGCTTGATATATACTGGCAAATGTAATATAATATATACTGCCACCCCCAAATAATCTTGTGAAAATAGCTACATTTGTAAACAGAATGCATTTTAATATGCAAGGCCGTGACAATGAAAACAGACATACCACTGAAATGGCTTCTTTGACATGGCGCGCTCTTTCATCCAAATTAAATTCCAATTCTGTTGCTTCTTTAAGAACATCTCGACGTATCAAATGCAGTCTTCTAATGTTTTCCCTGAAACCAAAAGAGGCGACAACAGTAATGGCAGTTTAAAGCAAACCTGTGTCTAGACCAGTGGTGGCGAACCTTGGCACTCCAGCTGTTCCACAACTACAAATCCCAACATGCATTTGCCTCTGGGAGTTATGTATGTGGCTGTCAGAGCCTAGCAATGCCTCATGTGACTTGTAGTTCCAAAACAGCTGGAGTGCCAAGGTTCGCCACCCCTGGTCTAGACAAACAAAGGGAAAGCACATGTACCCACCAAAGCCAGCAACATTGGTGCCAAAGTATAAAGCTGCTTTAAATCTCCAGCCATTTACCGCACCAATTCAGTGCCACAAATATAATCAGCTAGCACCCCTTCTAGATTGTGGGGGAAAGTCATGCCACAGTGCAATGTTCAGAGTCTGATATCTGCATGAACTTTTTATAGGGCTATGTGAGCGCAAGGGGTAGATTAGGGATGAAATTTAGGTTCGCGCTGGATCCTAGTTTGAGGCAAACCCGAACCCCCCTAACATTCGATATCCCCAGTGCTGTGTTTACATACTGCAGCATTGGGGATCTATCAATTAACAAAAAGAGTTTTTTTTCATCTAATAATATTCTCTTTAAACAGCTTTGGTATTTTTTTGACAGTCACTGCGAATTTCTAAACTGTATAGTGTTTTTAAAACTGATAATAGAATTATTTATATCTATCTTTTTTTTGGTGATTTATGACACATTGGGGGAATTTATCAAAACTGGAGCAGACAGAATCTGGAACAGTTGTCCATTTGCAACCAATCGGCTTCTCCCTTTAGTTTGTTCAGTTAAAGTAGTAGTCAACTCTCAAACTTTTTCTCAATAATGAATAAAGATCAAACAAATATACATTGCCCAGCAAAGCATTGCTTTACATTTTTGCCCAAACAATTTTTGAACAGTTGCTTCCAAGGTTCTTAGCTCAGCTTTCCTGAACTTCCTGTCCAGTACAAGATCACAAGGGACAGAGCAGACTCCAAGAACTGTTCAACTACTATCTTGGGAGGAGGGAGGGGAAGGGGCCTGGGGGAGGGAAGTAGCTTGGTTTGCTGTGTCTGTGTGTTTGTGGAGACACAAACAGCTTACTAGCACACACAAGGGTGTCAGCATAGCACTCTGTTGGAAAAAGGAGTCACTCTAAAATAGGAAGTCAGGACCAGTGCTCAGAGGACCAGCTGATTCTGCAGGAAACTTAAAACTTTTAAATATCAAGGCGCAGAATCCGATGTAATTGATTTAATCAGCATTTGAAATGGCTAAAAATCCCTTTGACTTTAACCGCCTCCCGGCCGGCTGTTGTACGTAGACGGCCAGCTGGGAGCTTTCTGGATCTGACTGGCCATCTAAAGTTGGCCCCACCACTCGCGCGCCTGGTCTTCAAGTGGTTAATATCACTTTAAGATTTGAAAACGAAAGACAGAAGCTGATTGATTGCCATGAGTGAATACTCCAAATTTGATAAATTCCCCTCATTGTGTGTATATCAGAGAATTTCACCTATGGAGGTTCTTTTAGCTAAGATTACAATTCCGAGCTTTCACAGACCATCTAATTTTTTCTTTGCTGGGGCAGGCTGTCACAACTACTGTGCAAGTATGAATTTACATTTAGCAGCTACAATGCAAATCTCTGCAATATTGTTAGCTATAGTTTTATAGTTTCTACAAATTATTTATTTTTTCCTATATATAAGTCAAAATGATGGCTGATTTTTGGCTAAAATTAAGTTTATTTTGTAAGATAATGCATGCAGATATAAAGATTTCTACTTTTTAAACATCATTTAGAGGGCAAGGGCATAACCAGGCAAAGCTACGTACAAAGGAATGTGCCTGGGGAGCAATCTAGTCAGTTCTAGTCAATCTAGTCAGTTCAGAACTCAGGTATCAAATACGTGTATCAAATGTGGGTACATTTGTAAATCTTTCCCATCTTTACTTACAATTTATAATGGGAAATGTCTGTACATTGGTAAGGTCAGGGTACTTTGTAATCCATAAGTGATTTTCAAAATGCTGTAATCTCTAGACAATATGACAATGACTTACCTTTCTTCACTTGTGAGGATATTAAAGCAGCCAGCCTGTTGCTCTAGCAAGTGTTGCTCGATTTCTAAAATCCTCTCTCGATACGTCTGACATGCTTTTTTCATGTTTTCCATATCATCTTTTTTACTCTGTTCAGTGTAAAAACAGATAAATAAGACATAGCCAGTCTTTCCTTTCATAGTGAGTTGTGATGGTGACATAATAGTAAATTTAGCAGTACAAGATTAGGCAAGATCCAGATTTTGAGGACTGATTAGACATGGTTATTTGAAAAAAAGGTAGATTTCCTAAAAAAGTAACTGAACTCTGAAAGCCATGACTCATGAAAGTCATGAAAGAAAGTGGGCAGAGGGCAAAGGACTGGTAATCAGTATTGCCTGTGGTTTCCCTGCCACTGATCTTTCCCCATTACCTAACTACCATGCCTTGTCCAGCACTTTGGGAAAGGTTATCTTGATAGAGGCAAGGCTTTGCTTCGTCCTATCAGACCTTCCAAAAAGGAGAACAGTGAGCTGCACAGTAGTGACATCACCAGAAGCGGCAGTGCCTTTGACATCACACTGCAGATATACATCTATGAGGCCTGGACACACTCACATACTAGGAAGTGTACTGCTATTTTTATGGATGAATTCCATACAAAAGTTGAATTTGTCAGGGTATTGCTTATGTACAATTAACATTTCTGAACCATAGCAAATGTTCACTGTTTGTGTTTGGGTCCACTTAAAATTGTTTACATTAACCACTTGAAGACCAGGGTGTTAACCCCCTTCCTGGCCAGGCCATTTTTCAGTATTCAGCGCTGCAGTACTTTGACTGACGTTTAATCAGTCATGCAACGCTGTACTGAAATGAATTTTATACCATTTTATGGGCACGTATGGAGCTTTCTTTTGGTGGTATTTAATCACCACTGGGGATTTTATTTTTTACTATATAACAAAAAAAGTACTCTAAATTTTGAAAATGAAACCTGTTTCCCTATGAAATGTTATGAAACATTTATTATCACCCCACTTTTTTGGTAAAAATATAAAATACGAGGTCATGTCGGGTAAATAGACACCAAACATGTCAAGCTGTAAAATTGTGTGCACCCGCGAGATCGCAGAAAATGACCACACCCAAAATTGGCCATGAACGACACTTTAAACGCTTTTACCGCTTTTACTTTTTTGTGTTATTTTACATTTTTTTATTTGTCACTATTTTATTTTAAGCTTCTTTATTTTTTATGCTTTCAGTTTTTTAAAACTTTTTTTTTTACACTTAATTTACTGCTATCACATAGGGGGCTAAGAAACCCCCTATGTGATAGCCAATTCAAATAACAGGTCCTCTTTATGGAGACATCAGGGGTCTGATGTAATATACATCACTCCAGCATTCGGGGACTGGAGAGGAGATCAAAGGCAGATCGTGTACTGAATTCCCTTTGATCTCCAGTAACAGAGTCGCCGTGACGGTCCCAGCCGCACCTGGCACAGCGGATCTCGGGACTGGCAGTGGCAGCGACGGAGGTATAGGGGGGGGGGCGCACACCCGCAGCTAGCACAAGCGATCAGGCTTCTCTAGAGACACCTAATCACCATCGCTGGCTGTTTTTTAAAGGGTACCTTTTGAGGATAGAATTGGGATCTACCGCTGCTAATGTTATTAGAGGTGCAAGTTCTATGGCTGTTATCTTGATCCTGACTTTTTTTCCTAGTATCAAAATTATCCAGGAATTTACACTTCTCAAACGTAACTTGCCACCTTCTTGTTCTAACTCTGTGATCACTAGAAACCAAGGTCAGATAACATCTCTAGTGCACATTTAAAATTTCTGTCCTCATAAGTTGACATTTAATTACTTGCTCACAATGTATTACATAATGTAATCATGTAATAGAGTGCAATTTATGATGATTCAGCAGAAAATGACAGAGTCTTAATGTGATTTGTAATCTGTAACTTAGAAGCACAGTTAAAGATGGCTATTTTATGATATGTTTAAACTATGCTGTTCAAGCATTTGACAGTCTAATCACAAGTCACCTGAAATTTGGGCTAGAACCAATTTTGTGAATCCCACTTACAGAGCAACATCAGAAAACCATCAGAAGAATTTAGCTAAAAGTGCTGCTATCTTATTTCTAAATTATCTCTATATACCATATCTATTACATTATTTTTTTTACATTTATAAAGTTGAAATAAAATCTGAAGTTACCCTCTATCTTAAAATTCTTTTGCTTTGTTTTACATTAAACCATAAAACTGATTTTTCTGTAAACTGTATGAAGTAAGAAAATTATATTGCTATGCCATTGTTATAAATTGTTTGCGTATGAAACATATGCCCTTGCAGTGCCCCCATGCTGCATTTACTCTAGCAGTAGAGGAATAAGCAGTAATCCTTTCCTTTTTCTCCCACAAGCTTGCTCCTAGCTGGGAGACCAGTCCCTCAAAGTAATTTTCCTTAGCGGATCTCCTGGTCACAGGCTCTCTGATGTCATCTTGTATATTGTATGTGAAGACATCAAGGGTCTGCCTACATTGTGGAGGGGTGGAGAGGGTTGGTTGCTGGTAACTAATAACATAAGAATTACAGCTTATTCCCCTACCCCTAGACTAAAATCCTGCAGCACTGGGGATGGGGGTGTTACTGAAGGTGGAGTTCGGAATATTCTGGAGTCCAGCTTTAACTTCACAAATCATACCTAGATGAGACTCTGTTAGGCCATACACAATAAACACATTGAACAGTAGGTCAGATTGAAATGTATCAAAATATATTTCTTATACATACCAGAGATATACTGATTAGTGATCCCCTTAATAAGCTCAGTGTGTCTGATAGTTCCTTTTCTATATTGATGCAAGAAGAACTAGGCCTGTTGGGTACATTGTGTCTACACATTGATGGACATCTTGATACGCAGCAGTGATGACAGTGGCAGCAATGACAGCAGGAAATATTAAATGCAGGATGTGAAGAATGATGGTGACCCAACAGACCTGTATCTAATGAGAGTGACTCTGTGGAAAAGCGGCTTTGTTGATGAAAACAGTGATTGTTAGTATAGCATTCATTCAACCATCCTATTTCAGTCTGAGTGAATGCATCCTTTTTATCAGCCACACATGTAAATAAAGCGTGCACTTCACTTTTATTATTGTTTGTGTTGTACACTGAGTGTTGCCTACTGGTGCATTCGCCTGGATCTTGCAGCAAGTTTGAAGACATCTGTATGGTTACAGACTTATAAATATTTGTGTTTATTTCTGTTTGGAATGTACTCTTTTTGTCTTGGTAGCAGTGGTGGAGCTCATGATCTGAGTAATCTACAGACCCAGGAGGAGTCTGTACATTAAAACTGAAGCTTTGCGAACCGTTCATTAGAGAGGATGTCCATTTTGCACTTGATGATACCACTGAACACTCATCATCTGCAAATGAATTACTCTCACTATCACTTTTAACTTGAAGATGACTTACATGTCCCCCAAAATAGTCTTGGTCATCATTTGTCTCACTGTAGAATTCAGTATGAATTTTCCTGATGTCACTTAAGTAATGTGTGACATAAACTGGGTATTCCACTTCAGAGGACACCGGGGTTAGTGTTTGTCTTTGATCCATGTGGTCCTCTGGTTCACCATCCATATAATTTACACCATTAGTAATTTCCTCTATTTCATTCTCGCTATCTTCTGCTATTGATCTCTGCTTGTCCATTTCCTTCATATTGTCAGCATGGTCATTGTGGCTTTCAAAACTCTGAAATATGTCATCACTATTTTCAGTGTGCATTGATAATGATTTGTATGCATCTTTGCCTGTCTGAATGCTGCAGCTTGTAGAAGTTATTGTAGCATCCTCAGTAAAGTCATGAACATCATGTTCTTCACTGATATCTGGAAAGTCAGAAGAATTACTTTTCTCGCGTAGAGTCACCTGGCTATCTATGCTGTCTGAACTTCCATGCAGATTCTGTAAAGCAAAGACAAACATAACATGCTAAAGTCATACATTATTGTTGAAGATATAACAGGATTGTCTTTTCAGGATTTAGATTTTTCTGTAAATAGAGTCGACACAATCCTAAGCATGTGTCAGTAATGACAAACTCTGCATGTTTAGTTGCCAGTAATTTCATATAGGTATTACAGATAAATAAATCTTATTTATATTGACAAATGGAGCAGCAACTTTTGTCATGTGTGACTAGCACAAACATCTGTACATGTAACCAGAATTGACTACATATAATCAAAGAGTGTATAAACCCAAAATGCCTTTTATTGCTTTAGATAGAGCAGGTAAGGTTAGAACTGATGTCAGCTTTTTATTGCTACGGTATGTATTCCTCCACTGGGGGGATTTATCCTCACCACTTGTCCTGGTGATCATATGTTTCGGGTGATTACATTTTCACTAATTTCCTGTTATGCGTCCTGGACAGGAGTGAAGACTGGGTTACTAACTAACTGGGGTTCTAACAATTCTTTACCCTATCTATAAAAAACAGTTTTGACTAGAGTTTCACTTCAAATTACCAATATATGACTAGAGTTTGTATATGGTACAAAACTCCCCAAACACCTTGGGGCTACACCCCACATATAGTTTGTGAGCTGATCTCCAGCAAAACTGTATCACCTGTTTAATGCTGCAGAATGCCTATGTAATATATTGCAGCTAACCAGTACACAGATGTGGAGGCTGCAGGCGTGTCCCCAGCTTTTTTGCCCCCAGTGAGCATCCCAGGTTGCTAAGAGCTGGGTGGGGAGATGTGTATGCCCCCCTACACATTTCTCTGCCTGGCTCTTAGCAACCTGGGATGTTCTGGCCAATAAGGGGGTGGCAGGCACACTGCAAACATTGTACAACAAAGTGGCCTTGAGACTCTGCCTGCCGCCCCCCCCCCAATGAAATGCTGCCTGAGGCAACAGCCTCAGACTACCTCATTATAGGGATGATCCTGGGTGGTTGCATTAGTTGTTATTTTTAATGTTTTAATTTTCAGCAAGTATAGAAAAAAGGGTGGCTACTTTTGTTTCCTATGGTATCAGTGTGTGTTGTAAAGTAGCCACCACTCCAAATTCACTCCCGTGTTGGACTACAATCTCACATTTAGGATCCAGCCGAAGCTTCGGCTCGCCGAAGGATCCAGCGAGAGCATGTTCGGCTGACCAAAGGCAGCCAATGTATGGCTGATTTTAGCCGATGTATGGCTGAAATCAGCTGTACAAGGCAGCAGTGAATAGCCAAACACCATTCGGCTCACTTCGGTTGGGTTATTTACTTGGCTGCCTTCGGCAGCTAAGTGAATAACCCCCTTAGTTTACCAATTTGTATTGAAATTGTAGCCTAAATTAGACACCCTCCAGAAGGAAGGACAGTGTCAGCAGTAATTCAGAGATGATTTGAGGATCTACAGCGGAGTGATACGCAAATAAGCTATTTTGTAAGTTTGATTTATTTCTCATGTCTATTTTCCTTTATGTCTCTGTTATTGTCTGTTATTCTGGTTATTCGTTTGCCTGTACCAAGGCTTGTTTTGTTATAAAACTGTGAACAAAAACTTCAATAAAAATCTATTGAATTAAGATTTAACTCCTGAGTTCAGTGTCACTTTAAAATCAAAAAGCTTATAAGCTACTTTAAATGGTGATGAAATCACTTTCAATGGATGCTGTTCTTTGAGGCAACATTCAAACGAATGTTGTTTGAAGTGTTGTTTGATTTTAACATTCGATTTTAGACTTTCTACAATGAAAACCACATTCACTAAGAGAATTTAGTTTGTTTGAGAAATATTTTTCATCTTTCTCCTTTAGATATCCTTCCAGTCAGTGCCACAAGAGCTTCAAATCAAAATGTATTTTGCTTCCCGATGTAACAGTGAAAAACAGTACAATACTTTATCTTACCTTTAAAGGTAAAGGTTCTAGTGGATCATCTTGAAAACCACTGCTGTCAGACTGACAACTGCTTGTTCTTGTCAGATCTAAAAAACATGACAAACATTTTCTTTATTTAGCATTGAAAGACTCCACACTGCCTTACAAAGTTGGTGCTTTCAGTCTAATGTCTCTTGCAAAACCATATAAGTACACTTCCTAGGCCCAGTTTTAGGTGCAAATTGATTAAGCTACCAATATGCTAACAATGGAAGAACATCCAAATTTAAGTGGAATGTGGTCCTGGTCAGAAACAGGTAATTCCCAGAATCGTAACGCACCAGTGCTTACCTGCACACGACACCCTGGTCATTGCATGCTAGAGAAAGCATAACCCTTTTAAATAAAAAAGTTATGCTTTTTACATCTAGAAATATATAAAGCCTGTTGAAGGGATCTAAGAAATCTCCAAAGCTTGCATCTTTAAAGGGTAACTCCACTTAAAAAATAGAAATTAAAAACATATTAAAAAAATTAATATAGCATATGTAATTGTTGCACAAGCTACAGTGTTTTGTAATGTTATTAAATATGACTTTCCATAAAAAACTGCAGCCGCTGTAATGTTCTAAATCTGTCAAAAAAAATTCAGTGCAATATGGCGACCTGGAGGCTTTCCAAACACAGTTGGTTCTAGCGTCTGTGATTGGCTGACTGATTTACCCAAAAATCTGCAATAACATACAAGTAAAATTTTTGGCATCCCTTGCAAATGGAATTTCATTTTTGGTGAGATACTCCCTAAGGGTTAATTACTAGTAAAGAGATGCCGACACTGCACATTTCCTGATTACAACACAGGAAGCCCACCAGCTGATTATATTGAACCCAGACCCTCCCATTCCGGGATCAGTTTGGAAAGGACATGCTGCAACAAACAGTTTTTTCTTCAGAACAGAAATGGGTAGATATCTGCAACAACATTTGTTAAATTACTATGTGCATTGTTCGCCCAGAGAGTATTGACTTTTTTCTCAACAGAAAGAGGAATTACTCTTTAATAATTTGTTAACCGATAAAGGGTAGGAAGTGAACTCCACACTTTCTGAACTATTTGATGGCTAACAGGGTACAATACTAACTTTTAAATAAAGAAAATATACAGTTTTGTCATTGTAATTTAGCATAGTTTTTTTTAGCTGTCATTGTCCATGCATTCTGAGCAATAAGCTAAATGAGGCTCTGTACCTCACCTGAAGTGATCAGAGTGGTTCCCCTACCATGGTCCATGGGCTCCTTCCTTCTATTTCGTCTGCTATGCTGCCAAGAAAGCCTCTCACTTCCACCAATAAAGGGGTTTCTTGAAAGGCAGGGGATGGGCAGCTATGTTAGTCTATTGCTAAGCCCCTGTCTCATTTCTCAACAGCTCCATCTAGTGGTGGGCAAATATATCATTTTCAGCAATGCAGCAGGACCTAAACAGAGCATGGGAGGCTGAAAGTTGTTGTGGGGAGAACACTTTCAGCTTTTTAAATTCAAAGTAGCATTTAGTTTTTTAAACAGCTGGCTGGGAAATGGTAGCTAAAAGATATGCACTAAAAGTGCTGTAGCCTAAAGCAGTTAATTGGCCTTAATAGTTACACATGTTGCATTATTTCAAAGTTGGTTTTAATTTAAAGGCTAGTGGGAAAACATGTTGCTGTTTCTGGGTTTGATGTGCAATGTACTGATTATAAAGCCTGAACGAACTGCTGCAGAAATTGTGTTATATAGAAAAAATTATTTGTTTGTAGTTGTGCTGAAAGCAACATGAAAATAACTTTCGAGAAGGACTATAGTTCTATGTGATGTATAAATATTGCCATTGTAATATATTAAAAATCCACTTGATGGCAGCAGAATTACATATATTTGTTATTTGTGCACATGGATAATACTATTTATTAGGCTATTAGACATGTATAGCCTAAAGCATCATTAGGACATCACAATGCAACATCTATGGTGGTTTTTGCATATTATGTATTTGACATAGGTTTTCTTAGGCTGCATTTTTGTATTATTACCTTATTATCCTTTACAATTAGTGTGTCTGTTACAAAACAGCTGCACATTCTTTAGAATTTTCTTTTACTAAATGCATTTTAACATTCAGCCACCACATGTTTGTAGTTTGTAGTTGTAGTTTCAATATTTGGTCCCTACACATAAATAAAGTGAGACTGTAGTGTACACATATTGAGCAAACTAACAGGTTACTTTACAGGAGGCAGCATCAGAAGATTGTACCTTCCCCGCACTATTTACTGCCAAGGTTTGCCTCCACAACCTAGAGAAATACCTAGTCTTTGCAGGAACAAGAGAATGTGTGACATTTTATGGAATCCACCTACTGTATATTGCAAAGCTTTGTGCTTAAGCAGCCAATCGCCAGGCCTGAGCAATGTCACATTTTGGATAGGGAGAAGCCTACGTATAATTTGACTTTAATAGAAAGTTAAAATTGGTCTGAGTGCTCTGTGAGTGGATCAAAGAAGTGCACTGAAGGTAAACACATGCTGATGACACTGCCTTTTATTCAAAGTACCTGTTATTTTGACCAGCATAGGCAAAGTACAGGTTCACTTTATTTACATATACAGTCTTGTTTACATTGAAAAGTAATTAAGGCAATTCCCAGAATTAAAGTAAAACAATGGATGAATGCTTATTTGGTAAAAAAAAAAAAAGCTAATATATTGAATGACATGTCACTGAATCGCTGCTAGTGTGGTAACTTTGACAAAGAGGTCTAAAATAAGTGATGTAAAAGAGCAGGTATACCCATGGAAAGTATTGACTTTTTCAACATATCTGAACAAGCAAATATTAGGGGGGTTATTCACTATGGAGCCGAAAGGATACAGCCGTAGCTTCGGCTGATCCTTCGGCTCTCTTCGGCCGCCTCTGCCCTTCAGTTCAGTCGAACCGAAGGGCTGCTGTATGGGCTATTCACAATAACCCATACGCAGTGGAAGGCAGCCGAGTGGCTAAGCTGAGCCGAAGGCATATGTTTCGGCTCGGCTAAGCCGAAGTGACCGATCTCCATGCAAATGACAGCTGGGCGGAGCCAGCCGTGATCTCACGTCTGGCTACGCCCAGTTGTAATGACAGATCAGCGTCCCCAAATGACCTGGGGATGCTGATCTGTCATTAAACAATAACAACTAGGCGTTAAATGAATAACCCTGTAGATCTTGATTTAACTATTACCTAAAAAAAACGTGATAAACATGAAGAAAATGACACAAAACATTGGCATGGTATATTCATTTTCATGATCTAAATGAACACATATGCATATTTGTCATATGGAGAAAGTAAGTACACTCCTACATTTACTACTACTTCAAATCCATGGAATTAGAATCCAGTGTTCCAGATTAGATGCCAATTATTAGTATACAGGTAGATTCTGTATTCTTTAAGCCTCAGAAATCTAGGGTCTGGTGTTCTCTTTGCTATTGATATGTGTGGTGCCATCAGGGCAATGTCAATAGAGCTCTCTAAGGCATTTAGAAAAAGAGTTGGGGGTGCCTATGAGTCTGTCAAAACATTTTACAATATTGGTGAATGTTTCCCAATCTTTCCACTGTAAAAAGAATAATCTAAAAGTGGCATAGATTTCAACAACTACTACTTTGTCCAGGACTGGTCGACCCAGTAAATTCAAACCAAGATCTGACTGGTGCTAAAAGAAGTCTCCAAGAACCCCTAAATTTCATTGTGATGTGCTCAGAGAACACTTGCAACAGTTGGGGGTCAAAGGGCATGTATCTATAATCAGAAAGAGATTACACAAAATCAACCTCCATGAGAAGTGTGTTTAGAAAAAGCCTCTGCTATCCAAAAAGAACATTAGAGCAATATTGCAGTTTGCCATTGAAAATATAGGCAAAGAAAATGCCTTTTGGAACAATTTACTGAAGACTAATCAATCAAGATAGAGTTGTTTGGTCACAGTAACAGTAGGCATGTCTGCCTGAAACCAAAGGCAATATTTCAGGAGAAGAACATCATAACAACTGTGATCCATGGTGGTGATAATGTTATGGTTTGGGGTTGCTTTGCTGCTTTAGAACCTGGGCATTTCACAGTCATCTATACAGTCAACTACTCATTCTGCATCATATCAAAGTCTGCTTGATTAAACTTCACTGTGAAGCCATCTGTCCAAAAGTTGAAGTTGTACTGGAAATAAGTATTTCAACATAATAAAGATCTGAAACACGCTAGCAAATCCCCCAAGGAATTACTCAAAAAGAAGAAAAGAGGGTTATGTATCGTCCTAGTCAAATCCCTTATGTGATTCCAATTAAAATTTTGTAGGGGGACTTTGAAATGGGCGATTAATGTAAGAAAAATAAAAAATATCTTGCAACTAATGGAATTATGCATGCAGAAGTGTTTAAAAATTGCAGAATCCAGAAATGGTCGATGTAAGAGACTGGTGGGAAGTTATACAAAATGCCTACAGCAAGTCATTTGATGCCAAAGCTCTACTTAAATTACTTAAATTTGTCCACAGTACTTCATTACATCAATTGATATTTTGGTTGAATAAATTATTTTCTTTATTTAGTGTTCAAGAATATCACCTTTATCTGTGGCCACTGTTTGGATAAAGATCCAATGTTTGTCTGTTCAAATATGTTGAAAACGTCAACAATTTCTATGAAGTGTAATTCATTGTTCATTGATTCAGGGAGATCTTGTGATAGATAATATAAATATATATGAAAATACACTGAAATTAACTGTTGTAACAACTATTGTGTTAATTTAGAAAAAAAAACATAACAGGGCTAAAACACCTAAAAGTACAAATAGCAGTATAAAAAATGTACATGTAAAAGAATTGGAGTAAATAGTGCAGTTGAATTAAAATGTATAAAGTAATGACAAGTGTCAAGTACTGTAGAGGTGATAAAGGGTATTATTATTTGCTCATCTTCTCTAGGGTATCTGGCTCTGTTTACATTTATTCATAAGGTTTCCAGGCCTTGGGTCTGTTTGTGAAAACGGAACACCTTCAGTAAACAAAGATGTTTGTCCATTTTCAATTTAA